ATGATTTTCCTTATTTGATCTGCCGATCGAGTGCCGTCCTTGTGAACGACGTTCAAGAATGTAATTTCCGAAACACAGAAATCATTAGTAAAAGATTCACGATCCAAGCGATGCCCTGAAGTTTTTCTATCCGTTGCCAGATCTTCGGCAAATGTTGCTGCAGTTGAAAGTCGAAGGCGCAGTTTGGCTTTTACACTGACTTTGTCAATGTGTCCTCCTCGAGTGATAAAACTAGATCTGCTACACCTTTACCCATGTCAACAGAAGTAAGTCAATTGTCTATGAATATCATCTACCAATATACTTTACCGCAATTAATAATATAGTCATCCGTATACGTATGTTAGTAATCCCCATTTAAACCCAAAATGTACAATCCAATTGTGATTTCTCCATGGAATATTTTTTGCGAATATTTATAGAATGGCAGACGCGCGAAGGCCACTTGATTTCAGTCGAGATATTTGATCTTGTATCAGTGAATTCAAGGGAGACACAACTATAACAATACACGAACCGTCCTGAGTAGATATCTCAAATGATTTCCATGGAGAAAGAAAATCGACTTGTTTATTAAATATGATCCCTTGCAAACATCAACAATGGGTCAGATGAAAATCAGAGACTTTCCATATGAAAGCGTTGGCAGGATACAAATTATAAATAACATCTTTTGTCGAATAAATAATATATGTTTAAGTACATTTAAGAGTTTGTTAAGGCCCGTTTACACGGGCAAATTGAATGTCAAAGATATTTTGCTCGTGTAGATGATAAATTTGTGACAAATTTATTGTGACAAATGCATTTAATTTGAACAAAAGCTAGCATGCTAGCTTTTGATCAAATGCATTTGATCAAATAAAATTTGTCAAAATAAAATTTGCTCGTGTGCTTTACGACAGTATTATTTGAAAGCCCTGCACAGTTGTTCTGATGCAGGACCCAAGAACACGGAGATCTGTATGTTTAAATTGCAACTCTTGTCGAAGTTTGAACACAATGTTATCAATCGTGTAATTTAACCTGGCGAAATTGAATAAATAAATACTTTCCAAACAAAGAACTTGCTTAGTTGGTTCGGCCACGGTTCGGCTTCAGTACAGTATGTTGTTATGAAATGCGCTATTTAGAACAACGAATTCCAAACAAGCAAGAAATGCAATGAAACTCGAGCATCCTCGAGCATCTTCGTTCGAGTTTCCGTTGAAATTATCAACTTTGCTTCTATGGCCTGGCAGCATGTGAACGACAAAAAGAACACAAACGCGCGCATAATTGTCAATTTGACAAGAAGTATTCCTCGAAACATTCAATACAAATTATACAATGACAAATTGCGATTAAAGTGCTCTCAAATTACACTTTTTGCAATTCAAACCAATACGTCCGCTCCTTGCCAACGAATTTTACTATTGCAAAGTGGAAGCATTGTAATTTAGATTTGTCCATCCCTCACTTGGTAATTGAATATCCTGGGAGCCACGTGACCAGCCGGCACCAGGGTCTTTCCGCAGCTTGGGGCGTGCGAAGGTAAGAGCCTGGGTACGAGGTTGACACAAAACCTGTCTAGACCGTGAGACGCCCACATGTTATTTTTAGACACACATGCAATATGATTGACAAGTGTTGTAGATTTCGTTACACAAAAAAATTATATTCTCATGAACATGTCCGCAGAGCATTTTGCTTTTTAATTAAACTTAAAAATTCAAGGTACTTTTATATAATTAATAGTCAGTTTCTCTATTTAACCGAACAGCAAACAAAGATTTAATTAGTCAGTTCTGTGCACGGCTTGACTGCCAAGCTTTCTTAAGGTCTCAACTTGCTGGACGCGGATATACTCTAACGACTAACGGGCTAATAACAGCAACAATTAAATTCTCAATCATACCACGAAGAAGGCGATGTAGCTCAGAAAACAACGCCGGTAGGACCTGATATTAAAAATAAGACTTTTGCCGGCGAAGCAAGTTGGCAGAACATCTTGGCTGTCAACAACAAGCTTTCGAATACATGACTTAGTTTGGCTATTCTTTCGGCGTCGTGTGTCCAAAATTCGTCAAAGATTTTGATGAAGCCCTTTCAAAATACTGTTTGTTTGATTTATTTTCTTCCATAAAGCATAAAAGGAAAGAAATTCGAAGAAATCGATAATGGAATTTGTTACGTGCGTTTGACCTTTATATTAATTCTCGCCTTGACCGAGCTATTTTTAAAACTGCTGTTTATGTGAACTTGCAACCAATCAAAATCCTTCATGATGCTGATCAACCAATCAGATTTCCCGTCCACCAGGTGGACGGGAATCCCACACTTTAGATAGGTTTTGTGTCAGGCCCTATTCTGTGATAGGGCCTGAACTTCAGGTTACTGTAAAGGCCATTTCTGTCGTTATAGAGACTCCATATTTTCAAACATTTTCGTTCGGCTCGTGAACGTCATAAAATCGTTTGATTTTGGTCATATACAAAAGTGCCCCTTTTGGTCAATGCCCCTCCACTTTCGAAATGCTTCCGCGGCCTCTGTTGGCACTGTAACAAGTTTGGACAACTTGTAACAAGCTTGATGCATGGCATTATCAGACCAGTTACAAGGTTGTTCTAACAAGTCTGATACAGCCCTGATATAACAAGAATGCGACAAGGTTGACGACACAAGATTGTAACAATATTTTTATATCATGACTGTATCAGACTTGTTAGAACAACCTTGCAATAAGTTTGATAATACAGTATATCAACAAGGTTGTTAACAAATTGTTCCATACTTATTTTGTTAAAACAACTTGGCACAGGCAGTACGAATACAAGTTGTCGATGGCTTGTTGGCAGACATGCTACAAGATGTGAGATTTTTGCGTGTGTACTATAGTACCTGCTTGTGTAATCCTTATTCGGTCATCGCTGATTGACAAAGTATCATACTTGTGCAAAGTTTCATTACCCATGTGCCTATAACATCTCATGAAAATACTTTATTTAATTCTAGATCGTGATCAGTTCCCATTATATACACAATATATCCTATTGTACTCAAGACTTGGAAGATCGTTCTGTCCTCGCGTATATCGCTAAAGATCAGAAAGCCAATGCGCATTACTGTCATGTATTCAAAGCTAATAGTGCGGTATGTTGTGCTGAGTTTGTACGCACCGGTCCTTTAAAGTGGCACTCGCGTCAAAATTTGTATTTTCTTAAACGAAAGTGCTCTTAAAACTGTGTAGTAACTTGTTTTGAAGATTTTTGTTCCCATGCTTAGTTCTTAAGATATTTCATTTTGTTTGTAACCATGTGACGTCAGTGACTCAATTACATATATAATGAGATATCAGTAATTGTTGTGTATCTTTGCTATTTTTGATGGATTTTTTTAAAAAAAACAGCATGCTTAATGATGTAGGTTAAATTAAGAAACGCGCTGCATCTTTGAAAAGATTTGATAAAAAATAGCAAAGATACACAACAATTACTGATATCTCATTATATATGCAGTTGAGGCATTGACGTCACATGGTTACAAACAAGATAAAATATCTCAAGAACTAAGCTTGGAAACAAAAATCTTCAAAACAAGTTACTATACAGTTTTAAGAGCATTTTCGTTTAAGAAAATAAACGACAGGAGTGCCACTTTGACGCGAGTGTCATTTTAAAGGGCACATGACACGAGATTTTCTCACCAATTTTTATGCATCACCAGAAATTACCTTGAAAATGATGAAGAATAAATGGCCTTTATTCACAGCTCATCTCGTTCCCCAGTTATGGAGCATTTTGTATTTCTGTGTTATGACGTCACTAGCTGTGCTTAAAATGGCAGCAGAAAGAAAAAAAGTCTAATATCTCACGAGTGATTCAACGAAATTAATTGAAATTTGGTACAGTTTGTAAGTGAACTTAAACAAACATTTTGGAATGTTTATGTGGCTACAAGGTCTCTCTGTCTGTCTAATTCGGTTTGCTTCCAACAGAAAAGAAAGGAGTTTTTGTGATTTCCATTTATTATTATCGTGCTTCTAGGTGCCATGGTGAATATAAACTATTGAATTAAATAAAACTTTCGTTCTAAAGTGCCTGCGGCAGACATTACTAAAATAAGAAGAGAGAGACCTGGTAACTATTGTGTTGCTATGATAACCACACAAACGTCCAACAATCTTTGCTTAAACTATACCACATTTCATTTAATTTTATTAAATCACTTCTGAAATATTAGACTTTTTGCAGCCATCGTAAACACAAAAACAAAAAAATCGAATTAAAATGCCCAATAACTTGGGAACGAGATGAGTTAATAAATTATTTGAGTACTGGAAGGTCGCTATTTTTTACAAATATCGTTTTGGCTCACGAAAAATGCTTCTGAAATACACCTTTTTGAAAATAACGACAAACGTGGAAAAACACTTAATGTGATGTCCCATGGGACAATTTTAGCGACAATTCGCAATGCAAATTCTTGTCGAGCGAATCAAATTTCATGTAACAATTTGTCCCGCGAGGGACATCGCAATAGTATGTGTTTATCCCCGTTCGACATCATTATGAAAAGGTCGGTTAAAATAACCCTTAAAGTAGTTGTCTCAAATTAGCCTTTCTTACGCCGCTATTTTTGGGTGGCTTTTCAGCCGAAGTCTGCGAGATAAGTCCACATAACAGCGACTTTTTGCTTTATTTGCTCTGTAGAAGGTTAGTTTATTTTGAAAAATTGCTTTTCACATTGTTTTAATTGTCTGCATTGGTTAATAACGCGAATTAGATGCCACCAAAAAATGGCGGATATTCATCATCGTGAGAAAGGCTAATTGAAAACGAATCACTGCACACTTCAGATTTAACTAACAGGGTATTAATTTTTGTATTGCAGGCAATATCTGACGAAATTGTAATGACCTTGGGCCAAGCCTTCGAGGTATTGATAGTTTGTTTTCTCCAGTTATGTTATGCCAAGGTTGTGAAAACGGTATGAGATAACGCATAGGTCCCAATCTGTCCCATGCCCATGTTAGTTCCCCCATTACATGGCAAAGATCGTAGCTTTCCAGTTTAATATTTTCGATTTGACGTTTACTGTTTGCATATAGATATTTGCGCAGGTTTGTTTTAAATATATATATATATATATATATATATATGCACAATTATTTTTAATAAAAACCTTTCAAAATTGCAAAGGACGAATGCAGGTTTAGCTAGGTCTTGTTGTCTCAAGACGGGTATTCTTATATAAAATTGCTGAACGAACAACGAAAACTGAATCACACTATTTTAATTACTCTAATGTATGGAAAATAGTTATGTTTTACAGTCCTTATATCAAAATCTATTGTGTACACATGCAGTATGACTGTAAATTTAACAAGAAAACAATTTCTTCGATTTGGTATGATTTTTGACACAAATTAAGGTAAGTACAGACCTTTTTCATAATGACGTCAAATGCAGGTAATTTCAAAAACACTTTCTCAAGGGACAATTTGTAGCGACAATTCGCAATGCAAAATGTTGAGTCGCCATGCACCAACCTATATGAACAGGCTTTGTGATTGGTTGATGATAACAATAAAAAACAATTAACTATTAATATAGAAATCACCTTTCTAAAAACGAGTCATAAACACTGATCACTATTGTTTTATCAAGCCAGTCACAAAACACGATCATTTTAGGTTGGTATAATTATTTACTCTTACAATATCATGGCCTCTTCGGGGAATAGTTACATGTATAACTGAGACTGAGTATCGTTAAGAGTGAATGAGAGAGTTGGCAGTCACGCTAGCTTGGTTTATATTGGTTTTTAAATGCTTTTACACTCGTCAATCCTGTATTTTGTTTGATCTACAACGCGTGACCACATGAACTCTCATCCTCGTTTGACCGGGGCTTTAGCCTGTTTTAAATAAATTACTATTTGGCTCGGTAACGATTTTCATTGCGAATTGTTGTTAAAAATTTTCTCGTGGGACATCGTAATAAATGTTTATCCGTGTTTGACGTCCTCATGAAGAAGGCCTATACCGTAAACCTCCGAATATAAGCTCTTCGTAAGCAATTTTTTATGTGTTTTGCTTTGGGGGGGGGGGGTACGGACGATATTTGGTGTTAATAACAATGTTTATTGCATCTGTATACGTAAACACACAGTATTGTATCATAAACACACAGTATATGGTCCTTGGCTTTTCCTTGGTCCTTGACTTTTCCTGGCGATAATAAATATTGACTTATGTATTGCAAATTCTACGACTAGTGACGTATGGAAATTTGCGGACGATACTTCAGTTTCCAAAGTTATTCCAAAAGCTCGTGCTTGCTCCCTGCCAGATAAAGTAATGTTCATAAATGTCAAATGATAACAAATTTCAACTTAACCCTGGTAAATGCAAAGAGGTCAGGATAAAAGCAAAAGTTCTGGGTATGACACTTACCAGTGATTTGAAATGGAACAAGCACGTAAGCAATATTGTGGAAAAGGCTTCTAAATGACTTTATCTATAGTTAAAACGCAGTTAAAACGCGCTGAAGTGGAAACTAGCTCCTTATATAAGTCTATACCGCGTGTATTAGATCAATTGTTCAGTACGCTTGTCAAGTTTTTCATTCAAGTCTCCCTAACAACCTGAGTAGTAATATAGAGGCCGTTCGACCCCCATTTTTGAAGCGCTGGAGGTGGTGGAGTGTGGTGGAGGTGGTGGAGTGAGGAGGAGGAGTTAGGAGGAGTAATGACGTCACTCATTAACATACGTCATAATGATATGCAATGACGTCACGCGGGCGAGCTTAAACACGATCAGGCGAAACTTGCTGACTACGCATTTTTTAGCGTCCCCCACGTGTATGGTACAATAGAGGGATTAATCTTGGTTTGCTATGAATAGCTCGAGTCCCTCACAAGGCAAAATTGTTATCGAAATTAATATATAGCAGTGTTATAGCCGTATCTTTGCTAGGAAGAGATAAATTTCCACGAGTATATTGAAGGTTTTTCCGTATGTTCCATAGCGAGGAATCTATTCGTCACAAAAATCAAGACATATTTTAAACAGAACTAAACAGTTGCTAATCCCGGGTTGTCAACGTCGTTGTTAAGGTCAATATTATTAATATATAGCAGAGTTATAGCCGTATCTTTGCTCGGAAGAGATAAATTTCCACGAGTATATTGAAGGATTTTTCGTATGTTTACAAAATTATAGAGAGGAATCTATTCGTCACAAAAATCAAGACATATTTTAAACAGAACTAAACAGTTGCTAATCCCGGGTTGTCAACGTCGTTGTTAAGGTCAATATTTGCATGTTGTTCAACGTTATTTAGCAAATCTTCTACATACATATATACTGTTAAGATGACCGAGTCAGATCATAAGTAAGCTTATCAAGAATATAAGTTAGAATTGGAACAGTTGTAATATATTTTGCGATAAAAACATGTAGTCGTTATATACGTTGTTATGTGTTGCTAAGTCATTAGCAATGCTTGGGTGCATGCATATATTAACGTACAACATATTTGTACACTAATGAGGCGGGCGGTTTGCGCGGACTGAAAAGCGGGCTTTGCAGGCAAAAGTTTGCACAAGATTTCAGTTTTAAAATTCATTTTTTGCTATCTTGAGTTATATAAACACATGGAAGTTAAAGGTCATGATATATAATTGTCAAGCGATTTCTATATTTTAGTGCTAGGTTTTTAAAGTACTAAAAGTGGAATAAGGTTAATAAATTTAAGCTATACTTCTAACCCTACATCGATCATCGACCTTACATCAACCCTACATCGACCCTACGTTGACCCTACATCACACCCACATATCGCCGTAAAACTATAAATGATTCTTCCTTATTCTTATCTTTATCTTCCTTATCTTTATCTTCTTATCTTCCTTATCCTTATTTTCTTATCTTTATCTTATTATCCTTATCTTTATCTTCCTTATCTTCTTTATCTTTATCTTCTTATCTTCCTTATTCTTATCTTTATCTTCCTTATCTTTATCTTCTTATCTTCCTTATCCTTAATAAGCTTCCCGCTATATCGATATTTTCAACACAACTTAGGCTCGGAGCCGAGCTCCCTAGCCTCGGAGCCAGCTCTTTAGGCTCGGAGCCGAGCTCTTTAGGCTCGGAGCCGAGATCGTTAGGCTCGGAGCCAGCTCCTTAGGCTCGTAGCAGAGCTCTTTAGGTTCGGAGCCCAAGGAGCTGGCTCCGTGCCAGAAGAAGATAAAGATAAGGATAATAAGATAAAGATAAGAAGATATGGATAAGGAAGATAAGAAGATAAAGATAAGGAGATAAAGAAAAGATGAGGAAGATAAGGAAGATAAAGATAAGGATAAGGAAGATAAGAAGATAAAGATAAGGAGATAAAGATAAAGATAAGGAAGGTAAAAAGATAAGGATAAGGAAGATAAAGATTAGGATAAGGAAGATAAGAACATGAAGATAAGAAGATAAGAAGGTAAGGAAGATAAAAAGATAAAGATAAGTATTTCGAACTATTCCAGCTCGGCTCCGACCTTAAGTTGTGTTGAACATATCAATATAGCGAGAGGATTATTATTCCATTATGTAGAACATTCTAACAAAGTCTCTATTTCGAATTTATGTACGTTACAATTAGCTTATTTTACAATTGCGTTGCAAACTGAATTTGTGCCTAATATTTATACCCGCAAAGCCTCGCACCTGATTTTAAGGAATACACTCGCGTAATAGATAATCCCCATCTATCCATTTGGGATACACATAGTTATGAAAATTTTTGAAAAAATAGAGGCAGATGCGCGGCCAGGATGAAACATAATAATAAACAACGGTTTACCGTAAACCTACACACACTGACCGCTACTTAGATTTTTCATCACACCATGACGAAAAACATAAGATTAGTGCAGCCAAAACTCTAATTAATAGGTCTTTACATTTACCAAGCAACACATCTTGCAAAATCCAGGAATTAAATCACGTTTGTGAAGCTCTCACACTCAATGGCTATCCCAAAAACTTGGTTACGAGAATCACTCAACAACAAAGAAATGCACCAACTCCATCTCCTGAAGAATTAGTCAGAACGTTTTTTGAATCGGTTGAAGGAAAAACACAACCCACCGGATACGCAGTTTTGCCCTACATCAAAGGCCTCACGGAACCTCTTACAAGGTTACTACAAAAGCACGACGTAGAAGTTTGCAACAAGTCAATGAAAACCCTCCAGCAAGAATTTCCATCCGCAAAACACCGACCTTCATCCGAAAATCAGACAAACGTGGTTTATCGTAATCCGTGTCAAAGTTGTCCATGGAGCTATATAGGAGAAACCGGAAGGTCGCTGAAGACAAGAAAATCGGAACACGTAAGAAATGTAAAGAATCACAAGACTGGATCTAATGTAGCAAAACATGCATGGACTTATGACCACAGGATTGACTTTGAAAACGCGGAAGTTATCGATAAGGGAAATTTTAGGACCCGGAAAACTCTAGAGTCATGACATACAGCCTTAACAACTGATGCTGACAACAATTCATGTCCACTTCTCGGACAATATACTGTTCTTATAAAAAAGCAGTCATAGTTGACAATACACACTCACATTTCATACGCAATTATGCTAATCTTTATGTATATACAATAATAGACTATAGTTTCATATTTCATACACTCATACCTGTTGAAGGCTACAGATTGGTAGCCGAAAGCTTGTAATAAATATATATTTTTGGTCAGAGAGCGTCTATTTTATTATTATGAAAGTTTTTGTTCGCCTAATCCTTTAATCATCTCCTTATCGCCTAAAGACTTAGCAACGCATAACGACACAACATTTGCAAAGTTTAAACATGTTTATTGCGGCAGATCAAAATATATTCCTATGAAACCCAAGGAAGATAACTTTGTTAAAGTTATCCCCAGAATATACATGAGAACTCTTTAATAAAAAAAGCCACTCTACTTAGAAGTAGACCGTACTAAATTTTCTGAAACGTTTTGAAGAAATAAATGCATTTTAAAACTGGAATCTTGTGCAAGCTTTTGCATACAAAGCCCGCTCTTTCCCACCCGCGCGACCCGCCCATCTGATTAGTGTACAAATATGTTGTACGTTAATACATGCATGCACCCAAGCGTCGTCAAAGACTGGCAACACATTGCAACGTAACAAAGTTTAAAACATGTTTATTGATACAAATAACAGTTAAAAGATATCAAGTTCGCCTGTTAAACCCTAAGCAGATTTGAGAAATGTATAAAAAAGTGCTGAACTCAGGGAAAATGATTGTTCGCCTGAACATGTCCATGACTGCCCTTAATAATATCCATTCATATCCTATTGGTTATGCAAATTAATATTGCTTTAATCCCTTAAGTTACCTCAACCTTTGTGTTTTACGCGTGGAAATTACCTGACAGCGCTACCATCAGAATATTTATGTTTCCAACGCATTTGTTTCTAGCAGTAAAAACTATATATTTAAAACTTTAGTTTCAAAATACGCTTGTAAACCCATCGTTTTTATTTTGTTTAAAGTAATATAAGCAGTGTGCTATATCTTTGAGAAACTTTGGTCAGAAAATAATTTTGAATAAATTAAGTACATTTTGTGTTTAGTCACGTTACCTGTCACAATTGGCCCTGGCTTGTCAACGTTAATTAGTCGCACTACCTGTCACATTTGGCCTAGGTTTGCCCGCCCGTTTTGTCGAGCTACCTGTCACAGTTGGACCAGGGTTAGGGCTAAGGCCAGCAAAGTGACGTCATATATTTTGCATACTCATTACCCATAGATATAGGAGATCTAGATTGCTGACGCATACCTAGCGCAGGCGGGGCCTACATGATAAATCCAAGATGGCGGTACAAGAGGGCAGAAAGACTATAGATTCTATTACGGAAATCAGGATTTTTTGCAGTTTTTGCCGTCGCATTGTTTCGAAACTTATTCGGTCAAGTTTTATGGTAAAGAGAAACTTACCGCGAAGATTTTGAGCATATATATGATTGAATTGGATGAAAACTCGCAAAATTATCCATCGATAAAAGTTCGTGTGAAATGGTCACTTGGTCAGTTCGAGCGTTTCATTGCCAGAAATACTGTGCTATGTTAACATCTAGCCTCGTAAATGGTGTTTTACACTTGCAACAAACATTGTAAAAGCAGTACAGAAATAGCATGAGAAATAATTGAGGTAGTCGTATTCGCTCAGGTCAAGAATGCCAAAGACTTGGAATCATGAAATGGACATATTGTATTTATACTGTCCAGTCAAGATTGTTTAGTGTATTTTGAATGGATTTATGTTTTTACGTCTTTTATAGATAGGTATCCGATAGCTGATATTTTGGGATAAATATCCATGCTTATGACAGTATAAACTATATTCTTTTTCAATATAAAATTATAATTGTGTTTATATTGTATAAATTTGTACCTGTCATTTAGCTAATTGGAGTAATTGCCACATTTTTTTGTATTTTTCAGTATGCATAATACTTAACTGGAATTGTATTTTATAAACATTTGAACTGGCATATTATATTTTAATTATTGTAAATATATGATCTAGGGAATAGGGGCCTTAAATGGTAGCCATGTGGTTTCTGTTAGGTCCCTAGCAAGCTAGCCCCAATTCTTGGAAATACTAAATTTTCTTTGATTTACATTTTGGACAAAATAAATAAATAAATAGTGTGGCAAGTAAAAAATATTGCTTATTATTATTTATGCAGATTATACAGTATGCAAGTGTAAAATCATATTTCTTAGTTCAAACAAGTTTGATGTATATATATTTGTTGAAATGCAGTATTGTATAATATTTTAGAACATAAGGAGTTGTTCAATATCTACATCATCCAATTATATATAAGCTCTTTTTTAACTGACCTGCCCCATTGTCATCACTCGTCATCATCTGCCCTATCCCCATAATTATGAAAAATGAACCGTTATGTACACCCTGTTGCTTGTTAGAGAAGAAAACTGATGAGGGCACTGGATGAGAGTCCATCATCTATGGTCTGTTATAATTTGCTTTTTATGCAAATAGTGAGCAAAAGTGTACAAGTTACATATATAGTACTATATATAATATTGTTTAACACCATGGCCATGGTACTAGAAATTTGTTTATTAAAGTTGCATTAAATTGTTTCTACAATGAATGAACTTGATATGTTTCATATATTGCCCCCATGTAATGAGCAACCTCTTTCTGACCATGACAATGAGATTCCTGGTAACAGTCCTTAATTAATGAACAATTGTTTCACAATACTCTTCTCATCATATTTTCACTAAAATGCTTTGAAATATTTAATTATTTTTGAATGAGTTAATGTTCAAGTATTAAAAGACAGAGCTGCCCAAAGCTTTTTTTTTTGGGGGGGGGGGGTCCAGTTGCAAATTGCCATAACTGCCCTCTAAAGCATTAGATCTTCTATTAATACTGAAATTGCCTGCGTATTGTGTGTTCATTTTTTAAATGATTTTTTTCATGCTGAGTTCGCCATACATGTGACAAATAATCTTTTTTACCATGTCAAATTTCAACAAAAAGTCTAATAAATGCTGGAACCTATTCCCCAGGTAGTGTGAAAAAAACGCGGGAACTTTCAAAAGTGCAGGACGCGATTTGCACTGCTGTTTAGAGCTGATTTTGCAAGGAAAAAACCCGTTCTTTTCAGAACGCCTTTGTCGTTAATTAGTTTCATTGTTACAAGGGACAAAGTTGTTTTCTTATTTGGGCAAAATGCCGAATTCGTGTGCAGCGTACAACTGCACGAATAGGAGAGTGAAATCAAGTGACGGAACCACGTTGTCATTTCACAAGTAAGTCAAAAACTGCATAAACGGTGCTTTTTTATTTAAGAAAAAAATAATGTGATAGTAAAAAACTATGTGATCACTGATGCATGACAAATTTGGCCATAATATCTCCATCATCGATATTCTTAAAAAGGAAAAATACAGGGAACTGCTGTATGTTAATGAGTGGGGGCCAGTACAGCACACATAACCAACACAATACAGCACTACAGTTGGCCATGACCATGCTTGTATTTTACCCTAGAAAGACTCACTTTTCAAAAAGCTATTTAACTATAAAAACTTATGCCGTGATAAAAACTCTTATCAGAAAAAAACATGTGTATTATTTAATTATAATTGTAGTAAAGTGATAGTAGAATGCATTTGAGTTAATGCAACCAGTGGTTTTACTATAGATTTCCTTTGAAAAACACCAGCTTGTTAAATAGTTGGGTGATGGCCATGAAACGGGATCAGTGGAAACCATCTAAATATTCAGTCTTGTGCGAGAAACACTTCACACCAGATGATTATGTGATGGGTGCTACCAACAAGCTCAAGAAGTATTTGAAGCCAGATGCTGTCCCCTCTGTTTTTGATTTTCCACCACACCTTGAAAAAAAAACTAACCCACGAAAATGTCCCATGAAGAGAAAAGCAGCCACTACCGATGCAGTCCCAGATGTTCCCAACAAGAAACCTAAAAGGAAATTTCAGCCAGTTGGTCATGACCATATCTACTGCACATCTCCTAGTAAGGTTATTCCAAAAATGAAGAAGTCCGTAGAAAATAAAAGAAAAAAGATCAAGAGCCTATCTAAAAAAAGTCTTCGAAGGGATAAAACCATTAAGGGGTTACTGAAGAAGCTGCGAGATCTGAAATATTTGTCAAAAGACCAAAGTGAAAATTTGATGACAAACTTTGGTCACATGACAAAGGAGCTATTCATAAATGAACACAAAAATAACCAAAAATCAAAAGCCTCACGGTACAGCGAGTCCATCAAGAAATTTGCAGTGTCATTGCATTTTTATAGCCCAAGGAGCTACCGGTTTGTTAGAAAATCACTTCACTTACCATGTCCAGCAACCATAAGATCATGGGCAGCAGCCATAGATTGTGAGCCCGGTTTTTTGACTAATGTCATTGATGAATTGAAGAATAGCCTGGATGAAGATGAGAAAGATTGTGCAATATTAGTGGATGAAATGTCTATAAAAAAAGAAGTACTATGGGATAGAAAGAACAAAAAGTTTGCTGGCAACACAGATTATGGATGTATTTTAGCAGAGGAACAAGACAGTATAGCAACTAATGCCTTGGTTTTTATGGCAGTTGGACTTAAAAAGCCATGGTTTAATCCCGTTGCCTATTTTCTGGTAGATCGTGTCAATGGTAAAATGCAAGCACGTTTAATCAAAGAAGCAATCAACTTACTGACTGAAGCAGCACTAGATGTCCAAGCAGTAGTATTTGATGGTTGTGCAAAAAACTTGACGACTGCTAGGTGCCTTGGATGCACCTTGCCAAATTTGACGGATCATTCAACCACGCATCACGGCCAAACAAAACTGTATATGTCATTTTGGATGTGTGTCACATGTTAAAGCTTGCCCGTAACAGCTTGGGGGACAAAAAAGTTTTCCACACAGACACTGGTGCCAAAATCTGCTGGAATTATATCACAGAACTATACAATGTCCAAAAGAGTGATGTTCTTCACCTTGGCAACAAGCTTAAAACAAAACATATCAAGTGGCATAATCAAAAAATGAAGGTGGCAATTGCAGCACAAACCCTTAGCAATTCTGTAGCCGCTGGATTAATGTACCTGAAAAATATTAAAGTGCCACAGTTTCTAGACAGTGCTGAAACAGCAGAATTCATTTTGAAAATAAATAACTTGTTTGATATTTTAAATTCAAAAAGTAAATATGGAAAACATTACAAGACAAGACTACAAGAGCCCTATTAGACTGGAAAATCTGGATGAACTTAAGTATTATGTACATGAGACCATTGCATACTTAAAAGAACCCAAAGGTAGCGAAGGAGTTATTAAACTAATAGATGGTCCCAGGAAAACATTCATCTTGGGGTTTGCTCTGTCATCTAAATCTATTCTAGCTTTGGCAAAACACCTACTGACCAGAAATTACAATCAATTTGAGTATGTTCTCACTTACCGGCTCTCTCAAGACCAACTTGAGATGTTCTTCAGTGAGATACGAAGTCGCCTGGGACGGAACAACAATCCAAACGCATTGCAATTCAAGTGGGCTCTCAGGACACTATTACAGAAGAACCAAGTAGCTGCTTCTCCAACTGCCAATTGCTCTGTCGTTGAAGAAGGCAAACTAGCAGAAGAAGCTACTCACTTAGACAAGAAGGTCACCAGCATCTTAGATTGTTCCACCATTTGGCATGAGGATGTGTTATCATATATTGGGGGATATATTGTCAAGATCATAACCAATTGCCTGAAGTGTGCTGAATGTGTTGCAGCCTTGTTTGTGGAGAATAACAGCAAACCTTCCTTGCCTGGTCACACATATGGTCAATCATGCTCTTCCATGCCACCCAGCCTGATTTCCTTCAAGAGCTATGGTAGTCTGATAAACCTATCCACATCAGTGTTAAAGACCGTAAAAGTAGCTGACAGTCGTATCCGTCTTTTGGCAGCCAAGTGGAGTAATTTGCCAAAAAAAAGCACTGGAGACATTGCAACGGGACGTGCTACAAGAAGTGAATCCAAGTGCTTTTCAGTCACTGCAACAACACTCCCAAGACACTCATGTACCGGACAAAGATCTTCGTGACGACCACATCACCATTCTCGTAAAGAAAATCACGGATTTGTACAGCAAGATATTTCTTCACCAGTTCTCGAAAGTCCATTCAGAACGAATTGTCAGACAAGAGGCACCATCAAAACGGCAAAAGCTAAATAAACTCATCTTTTTTGGAAACGACTAGCAAACTGCCAAACTACAAGAATATTAAACGGTGTGTTTTGACGTTAAAAACCAATCTTACATTCTTACGTTCACAACGGCGGGAAGTATATGATCCTGAAGTAAATTTCACGTTTAGACAGTATAAAACACCATTCACGAGGCTAGTTGTTAACATAGCACAGTATTTCTGGCAATGAAACGCTCGAACTGACCAAGTGACCATTTCACACGAACTTTCATCGATGGGTAATTTTGCGAGTTTTTATCCAATTCAATCATATATATGCTCAAAATCTTC